GGTGAAACTTTGCATACATAAAACATCTCCAGAGGATATTCATAATTAAGAGAACTGAATTCATAACTCAAAATTATAATCACTCTTACAAGAGTTTAAAATTTATATAAACACTTACCTTCTAATACTTCATCCTTTCCTTCTTTATCAGTGGATTCTTGAACAAGATAATGATGAGTAACTGAGAACTTGAAGTCAGCAAAGGAAATTTCATCTGCTTTCTCTTCCCATGTGCCAGATGTAAATATACCCTATATTTAAAATAAAATGGGAAAAAAATTAAGCTATTCAATAGCTACCATTATGTTTATTAACCATCGGAATTTTTTTTCTTTTTCTCCCCATTAATCTAAGTTTCATCCTATAACTATCCTCCATATAATTAAAGAAAAAAGAAAAATATATTAAGTGAATAAAACAAAGAGGAAGTTATTCTATGATTTATCAGTATTCCTTTAAAAAGAAAGTCCCTCTAGAATATTCACAATCATGTGATATACACAAAATTATAATTTTCAAATAATTTTGTAAGATAGTCTCTATATAAAATCACGAATATGCAGTAAACCCCATGCTTCATCTGCGAAAAAAAAACACCCTCTCTACCAATAACAGAATCTGAGTTACTTTTAACTGAAAATTATGAAATTTTTATAAACTTTAAAAATTAGAAAAATCATGGCAATAAAATATATTTTTATAAAATCTCAAATCAAATAACATCACTATGTAGCGCATAGCATTACTGAAATTCAGAGACTGCTTCATAAAAAAGCAGTTTGTAGAATCAATTTAAGTGACATAATATCTGTAATNGATATAGCCCATGTTTCCCATGATTTCCTGCTTGGTTGTCCAAAATTAAGAAATATGAGATGTTTTAGCTGTGTGTGTGTGTGTGTGTGTGTGTGTGTGTGTGTGTGTGTGTAAATTGTAGGGTTGAGGAGGAGAGTGGAAAAAGCGATGGGGGAATGTAATGTAAGATAATGAGTTTCATTAGTAAGTATTTTAGTAAGTTTCATTAGTAACTCTAGTCATTTATTAGAAACTTAAACGTATCAACACAAATAAAAATCCCACCATGCTAATTTTTAATAGAATTGTTTTATCATTATGTATGTATACTAAATACTAAATTTAAATAAATGTGCCTTAGCATCATATCCTCCAACTGAGAAAGGTAGGACAATCATTCATTTTTGTCTATTTTGTTTAAGATGCATTTTTGTTTCTTGCTCAAATAAAAACTGAAAATAGCAACAAATAATTAACCAATATTTGATATATCTGTCATTAATCTTGCACAGGAAAATCATATAACCATACCATATACATTGAATGCTACCATTTTTACAACTCTTGCGTGTATTATTTTGGAAAAAAAATATATTCAGAGTCTCTTCAAATAATATAAAGAATATATGCATAAAATACTGCATCACCAAAAACAGTGGTGAAAACAATGAAAAACCCTTTCTTTAAATACCTAACATCTACAAAAATACCTAATAAAATGGAGATGTATAATAAACAATTGCTTTTTTCAATTTTTATCCCCCAGCTATCCTTCAATATTGCAATCTGTATCTTCACTTATAACCTACTCAGATTAATTCTGGTAACATCTAGCAAATTTTATACAGTATAGCTCTATTTCCTCCCCTCTTCCTTTGTGCAATACTGTCATATATATTACATGTTACAGATATGTTATAAACCCAATAATACAGTATTACAGTTATTTTTTAAGCAATCTTATATTTATTTTTCTAATTAAGAGGACACTTCATTTATATTTACTAGAGTATTTCCAATGATCTCCATTCCTTCCTGTGGTTCCAAGTTACCATCTGTTTCTTTTAATAGTGCCTCTATGGCAAGTATGTTTGCAATGAATTCTGTCTTTGTTTATATGACAATATTGTTATTTCACCTTTTCTTTTTGATAGTTTTGCTAGATATAGAATTCTTGGTTGACAGTTTTTCCTTTCAGCACTCTGAATATGTCATTGCATTGTTCTCTAGCCTCCACTGTTGTTGAAGTCAGCAAGAAGTATTGTCCTCTTGTACATGATGAGTCATTTTTTCTCTTGCTGTTTTCAAGATTCTCTTTGTGGGTTTTAGCAAACTGACTATAATGTGTCTAGATGTGGTGCTCTTTGTGTTTATCCTACTTGGGGTTTATTGACATTTCTGAGTCTATAAATAAATGTTTTTCATCAAATATGGGACATTTTCAGCCATTATTTCTTTAAATGTTTTTTTCTGTCCCTTTCCTTCTTTTCACCTGGGACTCCCACTTTTATGTTTTGTAACACCTGAAAATGACCCAAAGATCTCTGAAGTTCTGTCCATTTTTCTATAATCTTTCTGTTCCTTGCATTGATCCACAGACAGAGGCAAAACCATAGAGACAAA